AAAAAAAAAAAAAGACGCAGGTCTCCTGCAGCACATGGGGGTCGACAAATGCTGTTTCCCGCACGACCCCCGCGAGAAAGGCACGCGAGAGCTCGGGGGTTTCCATCAACTCGTCGGAAGAGCTTTGCAACACGCGACCCCGAAAAAAACCCACACAAATAGGATGATGACTTCTTAGCTTCATGGGACGAATGTACAAGTACAGTACATCTAGTCTATTCAGCCAACAAAAAAATCGCTAATAGGATGATAACTTATTAGCTTCTGGGACTAATGTAAAAGTACATCCAACATGCCCATGATAAATTAACACAGCAAAATTCTTTCGTGGGGAAGAAGCGGCTTTAAATGAAAAAAAAAATTTTCCAAATTCAGAACGTCATGCATTCCAGCAATTTTTTAGTTTAGTTTTCTGAGTTTGTTTCAAAATCAATAAAGCAAACTGTTGTAAACGAGAAAAGGAAGATAAAACTGTTGCCATTTATAACCTCCCAAAAATACTTGATTTTCAGACGTTTCAGAGCATAAAATTGCCGGGATTCATTTGGCGTATTGATCACAAGTTTTTACTAACAGCTTGCTGAAATACACACATTTTTAAGGTTTATCAAGGATTTGTTGGCTTTAGAATAAATTAATCAATACAGCATGTTTATTTTGTATTTAATTATGCATTTCATTTCAAAAAGCCTGGAAGGGATAAGTTGTTTTATGCTCATCATATTCCGACACATGAACTTCGCGAACAACCTTGAAATCAAAATAGAATATTCTTTCGCATTTTTTTAAAGAGTTCAAACCGCTTTTAAGTCTACTGTATCCTCATATTGTAAAATTTGGCATTTTCCCCCGGTCCCCTCCAGAAAAGCCTCTCATAATTTCAGCGATGTCTAGACGTCAGATAAGTACGCAAATGCCAACACCGATGAGACCATGCGAAGAATATTTTATTCCGCATTCTGGTCCATGAGTTTTTTTTTCAATTCTCCATATCCATGTAAGGGAAAAGGTTTCTGGCTAAAATACGTATTTGGGCCTTTTAAAACATTACACACACTATGTAAGAGGCCCTTCAAATGGCAAACACATCCAAGTTTTCGGAAGACTATACAGTATATCTCCCTCATACCTTATCGAGAAGATTGCATTATCACATATACGGGAAACAACAGAGCGAAAACGCGAGTGTTTCAAAACAAACACAGCATTTCAAGTGAAGATTCCGTGAGACACAATACAGCACACCGATGTGATGAAATTTGACAACAAACATCGTGAAATATTATCGACCACAGAGAGTGAAAAACAAAAATCATCATGTCCGTCGACTACCTTTTTATGAACTGCTGCTAATTGCGCCGTTCTTCGCTGCAAATCTCTCGAAACCTACGATCCCATGAAAAAAATATTCAAGAACGATTAAGAACGTTTTTTCCGAAAAAAAAATAATTGAAGCCATATTGGGATGGATTTGAAGACCCCGTTTAATTATACGCCGATGAGAGGTTGAAAAAAAAGTAATTAAGCGGGAATTTTCTGCTGTATTATCCACAGCTGCGGAGGAAACGAATAATTGTCCGTCTCGCCAACGCAATTATCGCCTTCCTTCCATTTATTATCATGTTTTTTATTCTCCCTTCAAATATTTGATGATTAAAATCATGAGCCTCTGTCGTTGAGAATATATATGCGAATATTCTCATCACGCAAGGACGAGCTTATTGGCTCGTGCTCAGCGTGGTTTTTCAAGGGCTTCCGATATTCCTTGCCTTTTACAGACCCTCTGATGTGTATAGGTCTGATCCAAAGTATGAACACTTTTCACGACATCCTTTCAAATTTAAAATGGCATGATAACGACCACTTGACGACGGGAAAAATAAATAATACTTCGAGGACTAAAATCCGGGTCCCCCAGAAGTGTTTGATGCTAGAAGTACTGTACTTCTGTACTTGACTCGTTTCTTATCACAAGAATAATTTAGACGTCTATAGTCGGAAAAGGGTGTGTTTTGTTCCTCGCCCATGACATTCACGTCAAAGATATTGATGAACACGGGATTCTTGTGAACGGAAGGCCACTCCTTCATTAAGAATCAGAGTGATGGATGATTTCGAGAAGTGTTTCCATTATTTTTAATCGGAAGCTTTGACCTTATGCACTCTGTAGGTTCATGGAATTATTATTTTTTATCTGCGAGGTTAACTAGCTGATTGTGATCATTCCTAATGACCAACATTGCTGATATGTGTTGGGCAAGTACGCCTCTCATTAATTAAGAAATATAAATTCCTAGAAATAATTTCCCTGTCCTTAAAATTGCATACTTCCTGCCACTGTAACATCTTTGACTCTAGATTCTTGGCCTATTAAAGGTCTTTTCTTTCATGTAAAGTAGAAACCAATGAAGGTTAAATATCTCTGAGTCTATAAGCTGTCCATGTTCAATCATATCATCATCAGTAGTTGAGTTGAGTTATTTGTTACCCATTTTATCTTAGCTTTGAGAAGAGTTTGCTGAGTTGTTCATCAATTATCTTTGTGAAATAAACTTATCCTGTTAACTTAGGAATTCCAACAAGGAATTTATGTTCCTGTCTTGGACTGATTGTTGTGTTTTATTGCAACACTTGACATCAACTTATATTGCAGTGACAATCCATCCCCAATAATATTCACGTACATTTAGAACGTTAGGTTGCATCAAATGTTGAAATGCAAGCATATTCTCTCTGTTCTTTCAGAAATATGATATACTGTAATAAGCATATTTCAGCATGATGTACAACAATTCAGCATATATACAGTACCTATACAAAAGGTCTGTTGATCAGGAAAGAAAATATTTTTGGATCAATAAACATGGAGAGACTTTTTTTTAAAGCATCTACTCATTAAAAAAAATTGAATAAATTATCATCAACCTTCAGGATTCATTCCTGTCACATTTCCGTTGCACGGGGAACTCAAATATTTTGGTTGAATTGCAAAACTCCGGAATTGTAAAGGCTAAAAATTCGAAGAAACAGAATTCGAGATCTTTTTCCATTAAACTATTAAAAAAAATCGAAAATGCAAGGTTTTTTAAATATTTTGAGTATCAAATTGTAAACATTTCTCCATCACCATCCCATATTTTTGAATCAAAATTATCAATTTCTTGAATCTCCAAATTGAAAAAAAAGTTCTCCTACAAACTTGAGTCAGTTTTGACGAGGAAATGCAGTTGAGTTGATCACCTCGAATATTCAAACATTCTTCTAGAAATTGAATAATGTACCGTTTCTATTTACTCGTGGTGACTCAGAGAAGTCGTGCTTCAAAAATCACGACGATTCTCGGAACTTGTTCGAATTAATGTCAATAGAAAACGTCCAATGCTTCAACCTTGCTCGGGATCATCGCAAGTATTTGTCCGTTTTCACGTCATTATTCCGACAAGATCAGAAAAATTTTACTGGATTTTAGCACTCAAACCATTTTTTTTCATTTTTCTGCGAATGAATCATGAAAGCATTTTTTCAAAGGGCATCAGAGAAACAAACAATTGAATTTTTCTTGATTCTTCCGATAAATTCGGCTTTAAAATAAATATAAAAAAACAACAGATACCAACGATATAAATGCCGTGACAAATATGGCACGTGGGAAAAAGGCGGTCGAAACCTGGGTTCAACGTGAAAAAGGAGACGGATTTCTTCCTCAACCAGGAATCACAAGTTTTTGTAAGGCTTCCTTTTCACAAACGGGAAAAGGGCTTAACAGATCCCCTGCTTATGTTTCCCACCCGGGTTTTTCTTCCGAACCCTCCACCATATTCGAAGCCCGAGAAAACCCCGTTTCGCATACGAAAGACGGACCCGAGAACCAATAACGACAATTGACCGACTTCACGTTCAAGTCCCAATCCTCAACAACCCTTCTTTAAAAAAGAATTACTAATTCAAGGTCTTTTTTTTCTTCTAATATTTATTGAGAAGCTAAAGACACCAGCTTGTTTTGCTATGAACGCTAAAAGCAGAAAGAGGATCGGAAAGAGTTCATAAGCCACCTTTGAGACCGGTTCTTTTTTTTGTGAATGACGTGAATGTATCCTTTGCTTTAAGATATGCTGAAAACTGAACTTGAAATCGTCGTGTCTGAGGGATGACAAGAACCAAGATATCGATTTGACAGGGAAACCAAACCTGAACACTGGAATTCAATGTCAGAGAGGCGACCAAAGATTTGAAATCCATTTTCCGGGGAAAATTTTCCAGGCCCTTGAACTAAATTTGACGTTTGCTGGCTTTAAAAAATTGCTTGAACTCAATGAGTAAACGAGAAATAAAATTGGTGCCCCGATTTGTGACGGGAAAAATATTTTAAAAGTATAGTCGCAATAAAAAAATCAAATACAAGTTCACGATTAATTTCCATTCAATTTCATGTGAAGTCGTTTTTTTGGAAATATTTACTCAGGAATAAGAATTAATTCATGCTCCCAAAAATTAGCACTTTGAGTTTGAACCATCCATTTTTTTTGCACTTGATTCTACTATCACAAAACCTTGAATAAGTTTTCTTCATTGCTGACAAGTTTTATCGAGAAATTGACGATAAAAAGATGCTAAATTCCGATTTCCTTGTTCAGAAAAATCCCATAAAACGGCAAAATGCGTTTTTCTGCGATATGAGCCGGGAAAATGTTTAATTTAATAACTGCAACAAGTTGAACATTCCAAATTCTAAAAAACGGATTTTTTTCACTTGTTCCATAATATGGATGCATACAATTTCAATTTCTCAGCATTCGAACCCAAGTTGCAGTTTTTAGTTAAATCTAAGTACTGCCCATCGTTTCACACTCGAAATTTCAGTAAATAAAAATTGGAGGAAAGTGAGTCGATAGTAACTCAATGAATTCGAAAGTCAGACGGAAAATCACACAAGTTTCTGATTTCTTTCGTTCAAATATTTGATACACAGATGAAAAAATTAGTCTCATATGTCTCCCCAGCCGTTGAAAATCACGGTCGTACGACAGCTATTCTATATCTTTTCTAATGAAGCAGCTTCGTTAATGACTTGCGCAGCTTTCGCTAAATGATTCAAGTTCGTCCTTTGAATCAATGACTAATTTTTCTGACCAATCCCCGACCTAATTTCTCCTGAAGTTTTCACCTGGAGAAGCAACGCCGGCTCCGACACTGACCGAAGAAGTGCGCCTGACTCCGAATCGTAGTTCTCGTCGATCCCCACGAAGGAAAAACAAGGCATCTAAATTAGCTTTCATTTTTTTCGTTTCATTTCAGCATAATTGAAGCTGAAGTTTCAAAATTTGAGTCCCAGAATCTATATAAACACATATTTCTACAAAAACAAAATTCCCACTCGCCCGACCTCTGCTCCTGATTCATCAGCCTGAAAAAGTTTAATTTTTTTCTGGAGAAATCATTTGGCAGAAAGTTAATGGAATTCTCGGGAGGAACTTGTGTTCATCGCGAAAAACGCGTAATCATCATCACCCACACGTTTTACTTTCCTCGGATTTCTTTGAAATTCTTTGAAATGCAGCCTTCAAAACTTCTTTGAAGGCTGCAGTCAAAATTTTTTTATCCTGTTTATCCCACTTCCTAGCGCAATTTTTTTTCGAGAGAGACCAATTGATTCAACTCAACTGAAATAAAAATCATTGTCATAATTCGGGTCATTATCTTCTCATCATATGGACATTTTCTCATCATATGGAAGGTTCAGAAATAACTTTCACGAACGCAGCAGCAGCAGGAGCTTCTGTCGTGTCTTTGTATATATGAGTTCCGTGGTAAATGTTTTTTTTGTGTGTGAGAGTTTGAATATGTACACTATTATTGTGTAAGATGAATTTCAATGAGGTTAAAATTCAGTTTTGTGAATAAAGAATGTGTCTTGACTGTTACCTGTTTTAGCTTCATGGAGACTTGCGGTTGTGTTTTGCGACTGCCTGTCATGTCTCGGGTGGCTGTAATTCGATACCAGCCTCGGTTCTTCGGTTGTGATTCCACCAGTCTGCAAAATATAAAATAAATTCAACACACCACATAATTATTAAACTAATTCGAAACTCAACACAGTTTTGAAAATTTCATTGTCAAATCCTGGAGATTGAGGCGTAGAAGGAAATCATTGCAAGTAAATAAATACTGGGTATCAGAAAACAATGTACAGTTGGACCTCTTCAACTTGGACCGACAGCAAAAACTTCCGTATGTGAAATTATTTGCAAGCACCCTTTTTAATTACCTCAAAATCAATGCATTGAAAAACTTTCCCAACTCAAAGGCGTTCCCTCCTCAAAACTCTTTGTATCACAATTTTGAAAGCCCTCATGGCTATTATTTTATAGAAACAGGAACGAGAAAAGCAAAAAAAAATGAATTGATGTGCTTTGAAAGCAAGTGACGAGTATTTGGGCAAATGAATCCGTTTCTTCAAGTTCAGCATCGTTTCCTGTCAACTCATTCAAGGAGAAATTGTTGGCCTAAAATATCTGATATAACAATTCCCTGAATTTTTTCTTTTACCCCGTGGAACTAAATGCGTGTTTCCTCAACACAAAACGTGTTTAACTCGGTCTTTTTTTTCTTTTTTCTGGTCCATCAAAGTTGGACTGCTTTTCTTTCTGAAATATCTCCTACATCGATTCAGCTTCGACGTTCGAAAATCTGCCATCTTGAAATTGAATAAATTAACTTCTGAACGTTATCAACTTTCGTGATTTCAAGTGAAGTTGTGCAATCAGTAAGCGTATATTCCAATAGAATATTTCCGTATTGTGTTTGTTTACCCGAGCTCGTCTACCACGATTTAAGGGTTTTTTGAAGAGGCTGTCCTAGTAACGCGTGGCGTTGAACGACTTGCACATATGTCAGTCCTACCAGCTGTGATTTGGCTAAAATGTTCACGCCTGTCTGAAAAAAATGTAAGTATGTGTTCCGAAATTTTATTTAGATTCTCGACAGGCAGGCGACAATGAAAATAAATATATCTTTGTAGACCGAATTGAACTTTTCTGTTGATTGCAATTCCACGTGCCGAAATTGGCGAAAAATGTCAATTTTTTTTTCAATCGCCGCCGGGTTTATTGACTGATTATTGTGGGAATAACGAAAGTTAGGTGCAAATACCAAGGAAAATGAAATACTGTGAATCAACAAAATCGGGATCCGAAACTATTTTGATTTGCAACTCAGTGCTCCAAGAATAAATTTGTTAGAAGAATCTACTTTGAATAAATCGGACTTGGGAGCAATTGAATACATTCCTAATTCCACTTGTCTCAGTATTTCTTATTTATTATCCACAATTCTCAGATTTATCGTCACTAAATATGAATCAACAAACGATGACCAGGTTCCCAAGAAAGGAATGACGTTGGCTAATTTCAGGGTTTTGCCAATTTTTGTATTTTATCTGCCTTGATTACGATTCCTTGACACGATTCCCGACAAAGAAAGCAGGGGAATTTAAAAAAAAATGTACCTACTTCCACGTCAGAAAATCCGGAATCGTGAATCGTAGAAAATGTTTCCTTAAAAGTAGTAAAACCTTTCGGAAATGAGTCTGGGCGTATATAGTAGAAGACTTATTCGGAGGTTTACAGTCTTACCTTCAATTCGGCATTTTAGGCACCGCAATTACAAGGGAGAACCCGTGGCGTAGTCGTGACCCGTGGGTGACGTTCAAGGTCTGGTTCCCACACGACTGCTGCCCGACCCATGCCTTATTGCATCGCCCTCACGGGTTCCCCCACAAAAATCTACCAAATGTTCACATTCTTTCAGACAAATTTGGATAATCTCTGTGTTGATGAACAAAAGCTATAGTAAATACATGAACGAGAACAACTTGTTTAATAACTCGACTCGAGAGACGCAAATCGCCTTTGAAGAAGGTCTGACATACATACTGTAATCCTACTTATTGCACGTGTGAAAATCCTTGCACAGGAAACTAAATCCTGACCAAGCTTACCTTACCTTGCCTTAACCGAAACAAAGCATTGTTTTACTCAATCCTTGTGAAAATTTCACTATCCAGGCTAATCACATTGAACCATTATTAGGCAGCCCCTTTATAATCTCGAAATAATACAACAAAAATCAGTAAATTATTTCGAGGGGAAAACAAAAGCAATTTTTATTTCGATTGCAAGTCGAAACACAGATTTACGTTAAATGACGCATTCGATGTATCACGAAATTAAAACATCCGGCAATTTCACCAAAAACAAATAAACCAGAACTAAATGCTGTGTGTTATTGCCGACAGCATGGTAAATTTCCGAAATTTTATAAATTTCCTGTACAGTATTTAATTTACATCCCATTCCAGAAAAACTGGCTGGAGAACGTCATCAATTATACGAAGAAATTAAACTTATAGCTCTTCAAAATAAAAACCACAAATCTCCAGTGAATAATGTGACGATCTGTAATTGAGTTTAATTTCGTCAGATTCGAAGGATTCTGTACCAATGTGCAATTCAATCTCCTCAAACAATTTCAGCTAATCTTAAAAATTTCGTGCCAAAAGATAATCATGAATTAATCGTTTGTTCAACGAATTTTAGAGCCTGATTTATCTTCGGAATATTTTGGGCTTCTCCAAATAAATTACCGTATATGCACTTCACCTTCAAATTTGAAACATAAACAAATATAACATATTACAGAAACACGTTCCCTAATTTTTATATTCAAGTCGTTTCCTGTAAGCACAATCGAGTAAATAGGGTGACTCATTTAAAGCGGAAGAAACTTTGGAAATTTCGAATTTCGGGAATGAAAAGCCCGAATTTTTTCGCGGAACCCAAGCGGAACCCAGTCAAGCCCACACCCACGGAACCCACGCCTACTTCAAAGGAAGGTAAGATAGGGTTCAATAGTCATAGTGACTAAATTCCTCGGTTCATACAAAGAGAATCTTGTGAGAGTTCAAACAAATAAATCTTCTCAAGATGGGAATCTCTATATAGTCGCCAGTACCAGACGCCACGGGATTCATTATTTGCATACGCGGCACGACATCACTTATTCCTTGTTTGCGTCGGGGATGTTTGAGTATTATTTTTCAATAAAAAAAGGATTAAAAGTAATTCCGGTACCGAATACCTTCCGGCATGAGTGGGTCGGCTGGAAACAGAAAGACTCGTTTCCCCGGAATCAACCAACATCAGGGGCAAACAATCTTCACGATGCATCTTTCAGATTTTAAGGAGACCAAGGGAAGAATTTTTAGAAAGCAGGGATTGCATGAAAGTAGAGACGAAAAAAAAAACAGTGATGAGTACAAAAGCAGCCATATGGATTGTGATATTCAGCTGATTTTCATGAAATCTGCACGGGGCTCTGAGGCGAGATACGTCAACCCCAATGCGGATAATGTCATTCCAACGCAATTTTATTTGCATTCCATCAACTTGAATTATGCAGTACGTCATTGTATTTTCATTGAGGTGCCAGAAATCATGAATAAACAAGGGGATGTCTTTGGGAAATGATTCTCAGCCATAGTGGCTCCTCCTGAGTGGTTTTGTCTATATATATACAGAAAGAAATAAATGGTCAATATTCTCAGTTACTAAAGGTATTTTTTGTGTAATAGCACTTATTACAGATTTTGAACTGCAAAAACCCATTCCAGGTGCAAGAGACATCTGAGGCCTGAGGCAGTTACCCAATGTTGAGAGGATTTTAAATGAGAGTGTAAATCTACATTTATAACTGCAAAAATAAAGGAAGCTGGAGCATCCTCAATTCTTGGATGTTGAAAGAGGATTTATTATTGTCTCTGATGACAGGTATCAAAAAACACAATCACATACAAAATCAGCAAATAAAATATCCCATTGTGGAATAAAAACTTGGTTCCAAAAAGAAATGAAATGGCCAAACAAAGAATGTGTTTCATCTTGTAAAACTCACAACATGCAAAATTCTCATAAGTCCACCAATGTTGGACGTCAAAAAATTCTTTGGCACTTAAATTGAAGCTATGGAGATTTTATCTAATTTTTTATCAAATAAAAATTTATCCCACTAACAAATCTTGAGATATTCTCACTCTTCTGAACCTAACTTTTTCTTCATTGGTAAAAATCTGGTAAACTCTTACATTGCCAGATTCTTATCTCACTGATGCACAAGCTTTTTGCGCAAACAGTGATTCCAAAAACCTTTTTCCCTATAATATGCATGATTGATTTTATTACTGCAACAATATCTTTTTTGGTACATTGCTTGAAAATGTATATCTACCAGAATATTTGCCTAACTTGATTTTGAAAATTATGCTAAAGTGAACATTTTTCAAAAATTAAATGGCAAGTATGAGAGATTTTAAGCACGCGTTTTTTTATTCAGTTGATTTACTCATGCTGAGATTTTTGCATAAGCAAAATTTTTTCATCATCTCCTCAACGAATTTCACTCCCATATCAAAAATTAAATGGCAAGTATGAGAGATTTTAAGCACGCGTTTTTTTATTCAGTTGATTTACTCATGCTGAGATTTTTGCATAAGCAAAATTTTTTCATCATCTCCTCAACGAATTTCACTCCCATGCTCGATTAAAAATTTCTAAAATTTCCTCCTTCGTAAAATTCTCTGCTTTTCCGAACTTTTGAACAGGAAACGTCTAAGTGAAGTCATTCAAAAGACTTGAATAGGAAGGATTCTACCTGTTCGCAGTCCGCACTTGGACGGCTTCCCGTTGAAATTTTATCAATGCTCGACGCAGCAACAAAACATCCTCGTAACATCAGAAACATTAACCAGGAAAAACAAGTTTTTCTTCCTTCAAGCATGATTTCTTGGATCTAGGGAGAATCCCAAATTTTCGACGCGAAAAAAGGTCCAAGATGGATAAAAAAAAAGGCAAACCTCTGCCAAAACGTCCTCCTTTTCGCATTTGGCCAACGATGACACGTAGCCTGAGATTATTACTTGCCTGAAATACTATATTATTCCGACAGTCATTAACCTCAATGTGGTGAGCATAAAAGCGAGAAGGTTAGACTTTTGCAATTTTCCGCGTCAAAATAGGCTCCGATCGAGTGACTTGTTCTCAAATCCTTCCCTAAGGGTTCACTCCATGAGGGATAATCACGTGGATAGAAAACTATTGGCGCGCACAAAAAAAAACACATTCAGTGACGCAGATTGCACTGCAAATAACGCGCAGAAATTGCGCATAATTCATGTGACCTCTGTATATAGCTGCCATATTGGCTGAGCACCAGCTTTTGATAATGCATTTTACACGACGGGGTTCCTTCCAGAAACCCGCGATATTGCGTAGTTTCTTCAATTTTGTTTCCAAATGCTAGGGACACAGTGGGAATATATAATGATTTTTTGCATGCAAGTGTTACATGAATCACCTCCGAAATGTGACACAGTTTGCATCTGATACACAAAAAGCAGTTCTGCTGACAAAAGCAAAACAGGTCAGTTTCTGCCGAGAAAGTGAGAACAGCTATTCGATAAACTCCGAAAGCGGAAGAAAAACGTCCACAAAAGCGGTCATATCAGATTATTTTAAAATCAAACATGACTTCTCAACCATGAATTTTTGATGGTACACTCCTGAGGATCTGCGAAAAAATTTTAAAAAAATACGGCATGTAATCGAGTCCAAGACGAAATTTATGATGCGCATTTTCACAGCATTGCTCCCCTCCTTTGCTGATTTCTACGCAGGTGAATAGGTGTCGCTCGAACCTAGTTTGTTCATCGATTTTTCTTTCTTGGGGTTCATTAGTATATTTAGGTTCACGCTAGGTCAAAATACAAAACAAAAGTCATATTTCGAGTGGGGTTTGGATCTCTTTTAGGCTTATTTTTGGTCGGTGGTAATTCAGGTCATCAGGTGACATTATTTTGAAGATGTAAAAAAGCATGGCACCGATTTCGACCTCTGCTATATGGCTTTTCAAAAACGCGAGTTGATAATTCAGTCGAATAATGAATCACTCAATTTTACAAAACTTGTAATTATGTTTTCAGAACATAAGAACAGAAAAAATGAGTAAGGTGTAACATTTTTCCACAAACGACTGCTTCAAAAATGAATTTCTTTTAAAAACAGGTGTCAGCGGACATGCTCGCAGGTTTTCGCGGCCGATTTTCAAAATATATCTTCAAAAAAAGCAAGAACACAACCTTCCCATCAGATGGAATCAGAAGATTTGATTTTCTTCCTCATTCTTTCTCAACGCAGAAAATTATAGCGAGACGAAACACAGTAAATGGAAAGTGCAGTGTCATCTTATTCAAACAGATTTTTATCCGAATGTCTTATCAGATGACCTCCTTTTCGATTGAACGCACGAGCAAACTCCCTTAACTGATGCTCTAGAATTCCCAGAGTAAATGAAAACAACAAAATCAGCTCAACGTGAATTTTTATTTTTTTAAAGCCTCAGGAGCTTGGAGAAGCTGAACATTTTTCTGCGGGAAAATTGCAAATATTTATACGTTCTCAAGAGAATACTCGAGCTTAACAACAAGCGTTTCAGCATTCTGCTGTCGACAACATAGGGTTTCCATCTGCATTTTCCACCCATCGACTTTCAAGAAAGCAGGCAGGGAATCATGAGCCTTGTACCCAAGACAACACTCATTTGCATATGAGTTCTTGCTGCTCGGCAACCAGTACATTCGTTCAGGAGCCGGTCGATAATTCGACAAACGGAAATTATCAAAGGGTCAACGTGAATATATTCCGCAGCTATTGTTGACCTAGGCTTAATTTCAAAGTGGACTACAATTTTTATGCGCCAAAAATCTCCACAAGAATTAGTGTGTAGGATGTACTCAAGTATACCCCCTGAGAGTTTGCTTAATTGAGTCAAATAATCTGAACGAGTCTCTTATATTCAGTAAATCGGAAGAGAAGATGGATTTTGTGTGACCTGACCTAGAAAAGAGGAGGAAGAGGCCGACACGAAAAAGCTGTCAATAGGAGAATACCATTGTTGTCTCGAAACAATGAGCGTAAAAAGCTGAATGCTGATGGGAGTACTTGGGTGAACGAAACATTGGAACCCAAGAAAGTCGATAAATTGACAAAATTTTCAAATTGTCAATTGTCTTTTGGAACTCGCAAGCAATGCCACTTTTCGCTGTTGCTCATCCATTGAAAAAAATTTCAAGGCCTTTTTCAAATGTATCTATATCAACAAGATTTGAAAAGGTTCGGAATGAGGAGAGAAGCTATACAAATTCGACGTTGAACGGAAGTATCATCGCAAAAGCTTTCACTTTCTCTGCTGATTTCCTCGAAGTCGCAATTGTTGCAGAAATAAATTCATTCATCGAACATTTAGGAACGAGGCTTTTGAAGTCACTCTTTGCACCAAAAGCTTGTGCGTCAGTGAGATAAGAATCTGGCATGAAGGTTTTCCAGATTCTTATCACCGAAGAAAAGTTAGGTTTAGAATAGTGAGAATATCTCAAGATCCATCGATCGGGTAAATTTTTATATTATACACAAAAGTTGAAAAACATCTTTGGCTTCAATTTAAGATGTTGTGAAATTTTTTAAGTGTAAAATTCGCAGAGTTATTTGCTTCGGAAGTTTGGGCGTCGGGAATTGCGCCATAGGCAAAGCATCTTTTCTTTGCTAATTTTCTTTTTCTTTATGAAAGTGAGTTTTTATTGCGCAAACAGTGATTCCAAAAACCTTTTTCCCTATAATATGCATGATTGATTTTATTACTGCAACAATATCTTTTTTGGTACATTGCTTGAAAATGTATATCTACCAGAATATTTGCCTAACTTGAAATGAGCGTAAAAAGCTGAATGCTGATGGGAGTACTTGGGTGAACGAAACATTGGAACCCAAGAAAGTCGATAAATTGACAAAATTTTCAAATTGTCAATTGTCTTTTGGAACTCGCAAGCAATGCCCTTTTTCGCTGTTGCTCATCCATTGAAAAAAATTTCAAGGCCTTTTTCAAATGTATCTGTATCAAGAAGATTTGAAAAGGTTCGGAATCAGGAGAGAAGCTATAAAAATTCGATGTTGAACGGAAGTGACATCGCAAAAGATTTCATTTTCTCTGCTGATTTCCTCAAAGTCGCAATTGTTGCAGAAATAAATTCATTCATCTACATTTAGGAACAAGGCTTTCAAAGTCACTGCACCAAAAGCTTGTGCGTCAGTGGGATTAGAATCTGGCATGAAGGTTTTCCAGATTCTCATCATCAAAGAAAAGTTAGGTTTAGAAAAGGGAGAATATCTCAAGATCTGTTGAACAAGTCAATTTTTATTTTATGCAAGAAAAGTTGAAGAACATCTTCGGCTTCAATTTAAGATGTTGTGAAATTTCCTACGTGTAAAATTCGCGGAGTTATTTGCTTCGGAAGTTTGAGTGTCGGGAATTGTGCCATACGCAAAGCATATTTTCTTTGCTGATTTTCTTTTTCTTTTTGAAAGTGAGTTTTTATTGCACAATGCAAGATTGTATTTGCTGATTTTGTGTGTGATTGTTGTCTTCATGAAACCTGTGATCAGAAACAATCATAAGAGTCCTCTTTTAACATCCAAGGAGTGAGAATGTTCCAGCTTCTCTTATTTTCTGCAGCCAAAATGTAGTTGTGTACTTTTAAAATTAAATTCCCTTGGAGGCTGGGTAACTGCCTCAGCACTCAGATGTCTCTTGCACCTGGAATGTTTTTAATGCAGCTTAAAATCTGCAAAACGCAATTTTCAAATACAGGTGAACCTTGCTAAGTCAAATCTCCCTTAGTCGAATACCTCGCTAATTTAAAGTTTTTTCAAGTCCCTGTCTGGATTCCCATATAGAAGCCATGTATGAAAAACCTCCCTAATTCAAAATATTTTTCTCTGAAACCTCTGTAAGTCGAATTTTCTACTGCCGTTTGGTTATTATTTCCTTAAAATATGAAAGATAAAATTGACAAAATAAATTATGTCATGCATTTGGAAATAAAGTGGACTAATTGAAAAAAATGAACCCCTGCCTACAAGTTCAGCAAGCTTGAAACTCATTAGGAAGCAAGTTCAGGCCCAGAATATCCTCATCTACAATTTCCCAATTTCCTTGGAGCAAAAATTTTTTTTTCACCCCAAATCTAAGAAAATGTAAACGTCCCTAAAGTCAAAACCTCCCTAAGTCAAATTTTTTTCTGGTTCCTAGAAATTCGTCTTAGAGAGGTTTGACTGTAAATGGAAAAAATTAAACTTATGAACGCAGTTAAAAATACGAAATAAATACCACTCACTTCGTGGCCGCGAGAATGGCTGCATCTTCGTCTGAGACACCGGGATACTTTTTCACGTCTCGGATGAACTGCACCAAGGATTCCTTGTCTAGCTTCCCGTCCTTGAAGTAGGACTCATCTCGCATCCACTTCTCAGCTGAATAAAATAAAACAAGAAAACCGAGACTTGGGGTGAGAAAAGGTACTATATACTAGAATGATACTAGAAAATATGCATATTTATGCTCGTATGTAATACTTCCTCTGGATGAGGGTGCAACTCTAAATAAGGAACCACACTTGGGGTGAAAAAATGGGAAGAAGGGTATGAGACGTAAAAACCAACTCATCCAAGTGCTGGTCAAAGTGCGCATAATCTTCGAAACGCAATTTAAACCACGGTGTGAATTGAGAAGGAACTCGGAAATTCCCGCATCGCAATCTTCGAAAAGTTTGAGGACGTATATAAATTTTGTTTGATCGTCTATCAATTTTTGTTTAATGATAGTGGTACATTTCACGTCGACCGCATAGATTTTTCCAAGTATTGTACGACTTCATTCTCGCACGAAAATGATGGTCATAACCACCGAATGTTTTTTGGGAGTCATAAGAACGTAATCTTTTCGAATATTTCACAGCTTCATTTATTTATTTTGGCATCGATTGCTCAGAATGCATAATTTTCGTCGAATTTTGAGTTAAGTTCAAATTTTAACTTCGTCACAGAGGGTTTCGAGAAAATTTACAAAAATCTAGACGACCGCAAATGACTACAGTATTTGTCTCATTTTCTTCTGACAAGGATGGTTGAGTATTTCGATTCAACACTAGTGAATAATTGCAGATTTTTTACTCATTTTACCATTTCTAGAATGGTCTTAGTGAAAGGAAATGCCCTAAAAAATGGACCCATGGTCTTTGGTGATTTCCGTAAATTAACATCGGTTTGCAAATACTGTACTTTCGATACTTCGGAATACGAGATTTTCAACTTGAAAAAATGTTCACAAATTGCGATGGTGAACAATTTAAATTGTTGATATCAGCGAGCTGAACGATCAGGAATATTGATTGCGTTGTAAAACCGTTTAGATAAAATCTACCATCACCAAATTTTTAATATAATTTTCGAAGCCCTCATTTTCAATACATGCTTATATGGAAGCCCGGACACCTTTCAAAATTTTTCACTGGATACATCAGCAGATTATTATAAAAATTTAGGTCATCGGAAGTTTTGTTTCAAACTTCGGCATTTTCCCGACCGGAAAATTTACATTCATGACTATTCCAACTTTCGTACGTCCTTCCAAAGCGAATTTCGTGTTTCAAATATTCATAATTGCATACTTCAGAGCCGAAAAAATGAAACTGATTTCAAGGAATGTGAATTATTCCATTTTCCTTCATTCATGTGTCCTTATACCGCAGTCTTTCCATGCCTGTCTTGGTGAAAATTGAAAAATGCCCGACGCACGAGACCGGTAACTAATTATAATTTCTATTTTAAATGAAAATACTGTACAGTAGTGTGAAATAATACAATAAAGAACCAGGGTGTACGAAAATAATTCCGTCATATAGCCGATTTGATCCAGCTGGAAGGAAATCGAACCAACCGCCACCGTACCGAAGCAGTACCTGGATTCTCGGCCATCCTGAAAAAAAAAAAATTCGCCAGAAGATAGATTTATACTGGGAATATTTTTTTGATGCCCTGCAGACTTCCTACTGTACTTCCGCTTGTCTCTCACTTTTATTTCTCGAGTTTGATTGGTTTTTGTTAAAAACAACTATTGTGAATTAGTTCTACGAGTGGAAATGAATTCCGTTCCGTCTTTTCCGCAGGGTACAGAATATATGAAAGTGCCCTGCAATTCATAGCTGTCATCATGTCGGGTTGAGGCGAAATTGCCAATTTGATTCACCTTGATTCAATATTGCTTGTTAAAAATACTATGCCAATCTAAATTAGTTGAAGCATTCGTTCTTTCTGTGACTTGATTGGAGGGTGATCATTTAATGTAAGGGGATTAATTTGCAATTCGAATGAAATAAACCACGCCTTCTAAATCGGGCTTTTTTTTTGGTCACCAATTGTTCACTCATCACGCGATGTTCATTTGCGGCTTCCGGGGATTGACATTAATGTTTGTCATAAAAATGTGTACATTTTATTTTCAAGGGAAAAATTAATGGAAAAACGTCTTACTGTTTTTTTTTCTTTCTTGCGAAAAATTGTGCGATGTCAATTGTACACGCGAATAATATGATTTTCAAAATATCTATCGGATCTCGACGAAATACATTGTAGCAAGGCAATTGCAAGAAATGCATCTTTCAAGTGCAGTACTCGATTTTCGAACCTATATAAACGAGAAACCATAATCACGGTTACGAATTACGAAAGTTTACGAATTACTCTTTACGAATTTTTCGACAGTTG